AGTCACATGTAAATAATACACATAAATAATCAATATCACATATATACTCATTTATCATGCTATGATGTCATGGACTCGACTCATAAATGAATGCATGTGGCGCCATAAGGAAGTTTCACAATTCATCACTGGTGACCTTAAGGCACACCTGGTTACATCACTGGTGACCCTAAGGTACACCTTGTTAGCTTGTTACATCACCGGTGACCCTAAGGTACACCTTGTTAGCATCACCGGTATGCGGCCTCAACGACACACTTGGAGTCATATATGTATATGATGCATGTCACACATTCATTATTTTATTGACTCAACATTTGACTTATTACAGAATTTCATTAAGTGCATCATGTCATTATTTTTCATAGTCTCATAATCATAACTTGTCTCAATAGTCCATTCTTATGTCTCATGTCATTTGTGCATATTTCACATGGTCATGTCATAATTATTCCTCATAAGGTCCGCATAGGAATTCACAAAGAGCATTCTTATTCATATTAAAACTTATTTATTTTTAGCATTATCACATATTCATTTATTACTTCCAACAAGGAACAAGGTAGAGCAAATAGAAAATAAAATAGAACACATTAATACTTTGCATGTTCAAAGGAGCATGCCACAAGCAAGGGATTGGGAGCCAATCCGACAATCAAACTATCCAACAATTATTCCCACACCCCGAGCGAGGTTTCTCACTCCCCCCTTACCTGGATAAGCAGGAGTTGAAACTAGAGCAGAACCTCCTCCTCTGGATTCCCTCTTTCTTTCTCTCTCTTTCATTCTCTTTCTCTCTCTCTCTCTCTCTCTAGGATTTTACCTTCTCACTCAGTATAATTTTTTTCACCCCCTGCCTCCTATTTAGAGGCATCCTGGTGTACCCGGAACGGCCCGTTCCGGATCCTTCGAAGGTATGCAAAATTTTCAACTGGAACGACCCGTTCTAAAATCAGAACGACCCGTTTTCAAAAAGCAGAACGACCCGTTCTGGAGTCCATGTTAACACACATGGACTATTATTGGAACACCCAGTTTCTAACTAAACTTTTTAGGCGTTTTTAGAAATCCGGAACGGCCCGTTTCCCTTTTGGAACGGCCCGTTCTGGAGAAATCAAAATTGGCCTCTTTTCTACTTTGGAACGGCCCGTTCCACTTTTGGAACGACCCGTTCTGCTGCTTCAAAAATAGTATATTTTCTTTGTTTGGAACGGCCCGTTCCACTTTTGGAACAGCCCGTTCCGGCGTAAAAGACAGAATTTTATAAAAATTTTCATAAATAATTTAAATTATTAAAAACCTTTACAATATTTTATATAAACCCCTTTAATTAACTAAAATAACTATAAGAAAAATATTCTTCATAAATATAAAAATAAATAATAATTAATAGTCTATTAGTAGAAAATTCAGGGTGTTACAATGAGTTTTTATGATAACAAACAAAACTTTTCAGGAGACTATTATAGACGAAACAAATATCATATTTCGTCTATAAGACGAAACACTCCAGAGGAAGCGTACAATCTGTATTAATGATACATTTATTTCTCATTAATATGTCATAATATTCTTTGAGAAACATTAATAATTTATTCTGTAAAAAATCGGATGAGAAAGCTTCCTCAAAGACAATGAAAGCTTGCATAAAGGAAATGTCAAATCCTTGTGTCACAATAGAAAGAGAAAAATCCTAGATATCACGGACAAGACATTGAAAAGGACTATTCTGCACCAATCCTAACTACTTTACGCTAACACTACTCTACTATGCTCTAAATATAAGGATAATATGATGATAAGTAGCTGACTAAATCAGATAAAAGATACAAGGATCATTGATAAGCATTTAATGTTCGCATTTAATGTATCAACAATAATCTCTAAGATCAGTAAGAAAGATAGACGAAACAACTTATGAAGAAATTCGAACATTGCTTTAACAGTCATCTTCTTTGAAGCTACTATATAAGGATCAAACCTTGAAAGCACCAATTGAGAGAGAAAAAAATACATATATACTTATACAAAAAAAAAAGAGCTGTAAATAAAGAAAAATACACTTATAAAGCAAGTTCACATACTAAGACATGCAAAAGCTGAAGATGAAACACTACAAAGAAGATCCTCATTGAAAATCTTATACATAATTCTTTATAGTCTATTTGTGTTGTATTTTCATAGCATTATGTCTAGATGAGACGAAGCTATCCTTATAACTCTTGTCAAATTTATTTGTAAGGATTGAGCTTGAAGAAGCTTATACAAAAGAATACTTAGTGTTGAGCCTAGAGAGACTTGTGCAAAAGAATACTTAGTGTTGAGCCTAGAGAGACTTGTTGAAAGAATACTTAGGTTTGAGCCTAGAGATGCTTGTTGAAAGAATACTTGATGTTGAGCCAAAAGTGGCTTAGGAAAGAATACTTGTATCTTGTATAAGATAGTGGAACTCAATTTAGTTGAATTGAGAATTGGACGTAGTCTCTATGTTTGAGATGAACTAGTATAAAAACACTTGTGCCTCTTCGTCTGTTGCTTTCCAATACTTCATTTGATCAGTGTTTTATCTGATTACCGCTTTACTACAAAAGAGCAAATTTTTGATATACACTATTTAGCCCCCTTCTAGTGTGTATCTTTTTCTCCAACATTATAAATACGTCTTTATTAAGATACATAAAAACTAGAGGAGAGTAAAGTTGTTTTAGAAATTAGAATATCTTATTGTGTAGATATATGTTGCGATGCTCGAAGAGTCGGGTTGAAACCCTTTAATATGTAAGCTGGCTTCTGATTGGGTAGTTGATTTATAAACCCCTAGGAGAGTTATTATTTATTGAACATTGTAAGTTATTTATAAACAACGAAGAGAATGAGATTTTATTAAAGCCACTTGAAACAAACATCGATGGTAACCTAATCTTTATGATTACAGATCCCATGAAAATGGTTCAATGGAAAAAAAAAGTCACTTGTTAGTTTTATTAGCACTAAAATTGATTTTAATCAATTTTAATTTTTTAATCCCTTTTTATATTATAAGAAAGTGTTAAAACTACATTAATAAGAGGATAATCTTTATAGTTGAGTTTTATGTGATTATGAGAAAACTTAATCTCTTATAAATATTTTAATGATTTTCATATTCCTTATGAGTGATATATAATTTGCAACATACACTTGATGAAATAACCTATACAAGTATCAATGAGGCTGCTTGGATGGGTCTTGGCGAGATCTCCAAAGCACTCATGAATATCAGACACATGAATTGCCTGAAAGTGCAACACAACAATAATGACAAGGATTGTGGAGGTGTATTGTGATTGGTTAACTTTTGATACACGTCAAGTGTTTTGGTTCAATAACTTGCTATATTTACTACACTATGTTAAGTTTTATCAATCTAGATCTGGTTCAATAGCTTACTATACTAGATTCGATGTATTACATCCTATATGAAAACCCATCATGTATTTCTAAACCTTTTGAAATATGTGGGGCTTGTTGTATATTTTGAAATATTTCAAAAGGTTAATTGTTTAATATTTAATTTAATTTTAAAAACTTGTCATCTTAAAAATTAGGATAGTAATTTATAAATTTTAAATTATAAAAATAATGTAAATTTAACAACTTTACATTATAAGGGATAAAAGAAATGGGTTGACAATAATAAAGAGAAATTAATTAGAACATCTTTAATGAGAAGTATTTATTGGAATTCTTATTGACAAGATACATAATTTAAAAAAATTTGCATCAGTATGATAATAAATATCTTATTTGAGTTGCTTAAATAAACAATAATTCTTAGAATAAAATTATTTTTATGTGAGAAATGTATTGGGAGAGAAAATATTGTTGTTATATGTGAGAGAGAAAACTATTTAGTAGATCCTACAAATTAAAATTAAGAATACATTTACATTGAAGTGAAATTTGATAAAAAATTCTTAAATTTATATGACATTGTAAGAACCATAAAAATAAAATAAATAACACACTTAAACAACAAACATTGAAAATACTCTAAGTTCTATTAAAGATGCACATACTGTAATATGATGTGAGAGAAAAAAAAATGTGATACAACACCATGATAAACAAAATGATTTTTAAAAATAAGATTATAAGAAAAAAAGTTAATCTATCAATCACAAACTAATCTAATTAAAATAGCTTATAAAAATAAATTAAAATTTATTAAAATAAATTCATGATCAAATAAACTAATTTTTGTCAAATCAATTTATAAACTAATAAAATAGCTTGCTAAATATACACTAAAAAAAAATAGTTATTTACTACTTATACATACTAAATTGAAAAGTAAGAGATACGTGTATAAGAGATTATAATTTATGCATAAACTAAATCTAATTCAATTATATTTAAATTTAATTCAATTATATTTAAATAAATTGAGTTGACTTTATTATTTTTTAATTTGCTTAATTATAATCGAGTTAAATAACAAAGTAAGGAATATACAGTCTAATAAATTTGACTTGACCTAAATTTAATAATAATAAAAATATATTAATTACAAATATAACATATAAAATTAAAGACATATTATATAATATATTAATTAAGACTCTAGCTAGTAGCTAATAATATAATACGTGTCTATCCTATTATTTTTACTAATGTTATGTGAGAAATGTATCATGGTATCTGTTATTAATATTTAAAATAAATATTTTAATTTAAAAAAAAATAAATATAGAATAATATTTTAATTGATTGGACCGATTACCCACCACAATTACAGTCTAGTCAGGTAATTTGAAAAGAAAAAAAAAATTGCAAATCGGCCTGGACTCAACCTCATTGTATTTTAATAATTAAATTGAGTCCCTAGCAAAGAAATATTTTATAGAAAATAAAATATAATTACAATAATTTTTAGAGAATAAAATAAAATGTATATGCAATAAAATATAAAATTAATTAGAATGAAGGTTTTTTAATTAACCGCTGTTATTGAACTCTAAAGAAAATCGGCACAAAAGAGAGAGAACCACACAGACACAGCATAGAAAGAAACCCTCTCTCTCTCTCTCTCTCTTTCTCTCTCACTCCTCCAACCATTCCGAATGTGAACAAGGTAAATCAACTCTCGAACTTTCCTTCTTCTATTTGTTTCCCCAGAAAAAAAAGAAAAATCTTTCACAAAAATCTCCCCACATTCTTTTCCCTTCCAATTTCCTCTTCAATCTCCCCCCCACACACCAAAATTGCTTTTTTTTTTTTTTACCCCAAAAAAAAAAAAAAAGCATTTTTGGTGTGTGGGGGGGAGATTGAAGAGGAAATTGGAAGGGAAAAGAAAATGGTGAGATTTTTGTGAAAGATTTTTTTTTTTTTTACCCCAAAAAAAAAAAAAAATCTTTCACAAAAATCTCACCACATTCTTTTCCCTTCCAATTTCCTCTTCAATCTCACCCCCACACACCAAAATTGCTTTTTTTTTTTTTTTTTTAATTATTCTTATTTTTAATTAAAAATTCAGGATAAACCTCGTTTTGGGTCGGATTCGAAGGTTGTGGCTGCGATTCCATTTTTCGTTCCTTTTAAGAATTTGTTGCACAAGGGCGTGTTTGGTGACGTGTACTGTGGCTTTCTCTTTTTTGTGCAGTTGTTGTTGAAGGGTACAGTGTAGTGTGGTGTTTGTTGGTGTTTTTTCTTCGTAGTGCAAAATGAATGATGGTAGACAAATGGGGGTGCATTACGTAGACGCTGGGTTCCCCTATGCTGTTAATGAAAATTTCGTTGATTTCTTTCAAGGATTCACGCATGTCCCCGTGAATTATGCCTTTGCTGGCTCAATGCCTGATCAGGTTTTTCTTTCTACTTGCATTTTTATTTTTGTTTTTGGGTATAATATGTTTTGGTTTCTCGAATTATCTCAAAATTTGGTTTTAGTCTCTATAAATTTTGATAGATTTTAGGCTGTACACTAGTGATGTGGTTGTAGTCTTTCATCAGGAAGGTTTTAAATTGTGGTTTTGGTTACTATTGCCATTACCTCACGGTCCTTGACATTGCGGAAAATTGTTGATGAATGTGGCCAATTTGACCCCAATTTAGTCACAATAGGGTCACGGAGACTCCCAAAACCTTGGTGTAGCGGCTGAAATTGCCGTGGTGTATTTTTAGAAATGCTGCCCATCAGGACTAAAAACATGTGTTTCTGTTAAAATATGGGGGACTAAGGAATGTTAAGTTTGTGTTGGGACTAAAGCTGAATGTTGAGAAATTTTAAAGGACCAAAACATGTTTTACCCTTCATTTTTACTTTTGAAGTTGTTTCAATGTTTCTCAACTTGAGGGGTGATTTAATGGTTTTGGTGACAAGGTTGTAGATTCAAGGTTTCTACCCATGTATTTCTAATGTGGGTTGTTGCAGGGGTTTATTGAATTTTATTCTAAATTGAATCTTACCCCTAAATATGAGAGGACAAGTAGAAAAATTTCTGTACTTTCATTGTTATCATTGCTGCTGCTACCTAAGAGTTAGTTACTTGGTAATATAATTCACAATGTTTGACACAGGTACATGGAAGGTCTATTTTTTATATTTAAATAATGTGAATTGGAAGGCCAAGTACATATGATAATGTGAGAATGATTGTTACACTTTTTTTTGAGTTGAATTGCGAGAGTGGATGGATAATGCTGCACTTCAAAGCAACTTTGTGTACAGACATGTCTGTCTCCCTTTTGACCCATTTAAATATTAAATTTTGAGTTGCCGTCATTTATTTGTGTGTTGTACTTCGCTGAAAATATTCTCTTTCATTTGTTTTATTATTAACTCATACTTTACTATTGATTCTCATTTGGTTTGTGATCATAAATTTGTAATCTTATGTTCTGTCCAGGAAAGTGTCTATTGGTCAATGAACATGAATCCCTATAAGTTTGGATTGTCTGGCCCTGGGAGTACATCTTACTATAGTTCTTATGAGGTAAATGGTCATTTGCCAAGAATGGAGATCGATAGGACTGAGTGGGAGTACCCTTCAACAATGACCGCCGTGGAACCAGCTACAACAGAGTCTCCACCTAGAAGAGATGGAGTCACAAGCATGCAGACTATTCCTGAAGAATGTTAGTGGTTTATTTATTTTACTGGAAGGGTTGGCCTGTTATCATGTTGGTTTTTGCAATTTGGTTGTTGTATGTTAAATTCATAATTCTTAATACTCATTTTTTAATCACTTTTAGGTGCAATGCTAACAGCAAGTTAGTCTCTGTTTTTTTGTTTTTGGAGGGGCGTCTGTCTGGTTGGATGGAACTCATTATTGTCATTTATTATTTTAAATTGCCACTACGCAGAAAAGTTATGTGATAGTATTTTTGTTTTTTTTTATTTCTTCTGCAGACAGTCTTAATCATGCAATCCTTTTAAGTTTTAAGTGAAGCTTTTATATTTATTATCCTCTCGTCTGGGTTAAATTAAAACTTCTATTTTAATTTTTTTGATTTACGAAATTTATGAGAATCATAGTATAGTATATTAATTCTTTTAAATTTCTTTTGCAGGCAGTCCAAATCATCATGAGTCCAATAGTAGTAGCCAGGTAGGAAGCTTTCTTATTTACCGAGCCACAATTTTAGACCTTACCTAATTGAGTCTTGGTTTAATATTCAATCATTTGTCCCTGGTTGGAACACTGGGTCCCCTATGCTTGAAAATTGGGATACATTATTTAAATGATAGTTGGGTGTACATGGCATACTTTAATGACTTTATAATCTATCCACTGTATACTTTTTTGGATACTAACACTTTTATTAGTAAATGTTGGTCAAAATGAATATTACTCAATTCAACTTGGGCCCTTTGGCAAATAGTCCCATGGTTTCAATTTTAGAAATTAACTTGTTTACACTTTCAATATGTGACAAATAACCCCTATAGTTTTAACTTGGGTAAGTTATCTGCCTATACTATCTATGTGTGACAAACAGAGTTAACCTTTATCCCATTAGGTGAGATTGGCTACATGGATCACACAACATCATTAAGCTCTCAATATGTGAGCAAAAACTGCTGTGGGTTTAATTTTGGGAATTAATCTCAAGGGGTTATTGTCTTAAGTTGAAAGTTTATCTGGGTTAATTACCAAATTTGAAAATTCTGCTATTTGCACAAAAGTCATATATAAACAGGGGTGATTTGCAGTTTAACTATAAGGGTCTGTTTGGATAAATTTCTTCAAAAACACTTATAGGAGAGAAAAATTAGGGAGGAAAAATGAAATAGGCTTCTCCATATGTTAAAATTAACTTATGTATAAACTAATTTGTAGATGTTCTCTCATATTAGTTTCTGTAAAACTTATTTTTAACATATGTATAAGTTAATTTTAGCTTATGGAGAAATTTATTTCATTTTTTCTTCCTTTATTTTTTTCCTATAAGTGCTTTTGGAAAAATTTATTCAAACAAACCTTAAATGTTTAATCCCAAACTTAGGCTACTGAAATTGAATTGTGGATAGAGGATTGTATATAAAACTGTCTTTTCAGCTTATTAGGCTAGGTTGTAGGGCATAATTCCAGTTAATTTTGGAATATCAGACTTATATATCTTTATAATGCAATGGTCAGCCATTCAGTAATATCCTTTACATGTTTCATCTACAGAAAAGGCAAAATAACTTCTTTTTTTATTATTTTTCCAGACAACTTAGAATTTTATGCTTAATGGAAAGCACAAATGCTTGCATTTGCTTCACATATCGTATCATACGTACCCAATATTGTGATACTTGGGTACTTCACCAATATTTTTAACAAATGATGCTCAAGGAGGGAATGATATTGAGATGAAGTTGGCCATAGGCAATGATTTATGACAGTTATCTATAATTTCTATTTTATTTTTAGTAATGTTCAGAATTATCCTCTCTTAGTTTGGATTTGCAGTTATACACATCAGTTTTATTAATATTAATATTTTATATATATATATATATATGAGGAAGGATCCGTTTACTTTAGAAGTAAGTTTACTTAGACTTACTCTATTCAATAACTCATGTTCTACATCAAATTTCAACGATCCAACCGTTGAATTTAAAGTTCTTAATCAAGTCCACAAATTTTTAGAAAATTTGAAAATATTTGATACTTTATCTCATTAATTCAAATTGACGAATGATCATAAAATTATTTTATATATTGATTTGAATTAATGAAATGAAGTATCAAATGATTTCAAATTTTTTTTAAAAATTTGCAGATTTGATCTATGCATTAAGATCTTTAAATTCAACGATTGAATAGTTAAAATTTGATATAGAACATGAGTTATTGAATGGAGTAAGTCTACGTAAATTTCCTCCTGAAATAAATGGATCTCTCCTCATAATATATATATATATATATATTATATTTATATTATTATATTATATATATATATATCATATCACCACTGAATGCAATATGTATTTGATATGTGAATCATGTCTGTACATATGGCCTAGAAACAAAAAGGAGTTTTGAAGTTAGGCATTGTTTTTTTTTTTTTTTTTTTTTTATTATCAGTTCCTGTAGACCTTTTGTCTATGCCTCCTATCTCATGTTCCTTTGCCTAGGCATAGTTATTGATTGATGACGATTGGCATCAAATAGTTTTTGTAGTTTTGCCAACAATGTTTTTTTTTTTCATAGAAAGTTGTTTACAAATGGTGGTAGGTTTAGATTTGGTTTTCTCCAAAGTCAGTTTTCATAGGAGAACCAATAATTTCTTTATCATGTTTCACATAAGTCATCGTCAAAGATTTATGCTTGCAAGAACTTCCCCCAACATGTTTCTTTAATCAGTAAAATGAGCAATGGGAATGTTACTAAACCAAAATCACAAACCTAGAAATTGCGTGGAAGATATGAAGACAAGAATGAACATTTTATTGATATGATAATAGATACCATCAAATAAGGGCAGAAATCTCCTCTGAAGAATTTTTCCTTACTACTGAGCTATTGCTCTGTTTTCTCAATACTAACAATTCCCCATGCCTACCCTTCTACCCCTCCTTCTATTTAAGCCAAGCCCCTGTTCTTTCAACCTCTGAGTAATTGATAGTTATAACTTGTTATTGATATTCTACTTTACTAATCATTAACATTTGGGAATCTCTAATTGGGAATGAATAAAATTTAGACAAGACTGGATTTATTGTTACTTCTATCATATTCCATTTTTCTATTATTCAAAAAGCAGGGTTTTTGTCTATTGCTTGTCTGTTCCGCTAGAGCCCATTATTTAGGTCAAAATATAATCTACAAATATGTTATTTGAATCTTCAAATTTGATTGCATGTGCTACCTCACAACTTTTTTCTTCCTTATAAGCTCTATCAGACTGGTAATTATATTATTTAAAATGAAGACTTGAAAAAACTTAAGTTGAGATCTCTCCGCATTTCATTTGCTTAATTTCAGCAAGAAGTTCACCCTTAACTTCTGTATACTGTTTTCAACTTGTGACTTGATAAACAGAAGCACCATAAAATTTTTTCCTCTGAAGTCTCTAATCCTTGGTGGTGCATTGGTGCAGGTCTTGTGGCAAGACAACATTGATCCTGATAATATGACTTATGAGGTGTGATGCACTAAATGTTTTACGTATAAAGGCTGATGTACGCATGTAGTTTCTCACTTTTAGAATATTGTTTTACTTTTTCCAAATCATTGATTATTATATTAGTTATGTTTTACTGAATATCATTTAAAAAGTTAACATTGAGCGGAAAACATTTAGTTATGTTTTACTAAATTCATGCCGAGAGCATTTCAAAATTTAATATATTAACTATTAAGAGGTAAGCATACAAAGTTAACATGTTCCTAGATTCAATGTTTTGTTTAGAGACTGGGGTTTTTTTTTTTTTTTTTTTTTTTTTCTTTTTTTTGTTTTTTTTTTTGCACATTTTTAAGTTGTAAATGTTCCATATTATTTCTACAAGAACCAACTCGCTCAAAAGTTCAAATTGTTTGTTGAAGACTGCTGAATGATCTTATATTTAATACGCCTCACCACTCAAGCTCATTAGACTTGAATATCATCTGAAAACTTGGTAGCAGGAGCTCTAATACAATGTCAAGAACCGACTCTCTAATATTAGTCTGTTGTTTCGTGAAAGCTTGTGAATAATTTTATAACCAGTATTTCAGAGAATGTCTAATCAACCTGAAATGATGCTTTATAGGTTATCAAATTTTATTTAAATAATTATTAAGATAAAAAAGGGTATTGCTTTCAAAATTTAGAATTCTTGCTCTACAAAACTTGGTGCTAATTAGTATTTTGTAATATTTTGACAATTCAATTTTACTGGTATGTTGAATACAAGTAGAATTGGAAATCATGAGGATCAATAGCTAATGATATTTTGTAAGTGACAGGAACTGCTGGACCTCGGGGAGGCAGTTGGGACGCAAAGCCGAGGTCTTTCCCAAGATCTTATTGATATGCTTCCAACCTCAAAGTACAAATTTGGTAGCTTATTCAAACGGAAAAATTCTGGGAAAAGGTAAACTCCTGATTCTGAACTTTTCTGTAGAATAGATGAAAATTGGATAATAAAAAGTTGAATGAATGCCAAAGATTATAATACATTATTGAGGAAGATGAGGTGAATGTGTAAGAGGAGTGAAAATATAATGCTTAATTCCAAATTAGTACATGCTTCATGCCTGTAGTATTTATAAATTATAGGTTTACTAATTTGTATTTTCTCTTATTTTAATTACCCTCCACAATAATCAATGAAGTATGAAGAATATTGATTTGTATTTGTCCATTTTCATAATTCATTTCCTCTATTCATACCCAATGCCCTTGAAAATATAGTTTCCTCTTGCACTGTGGTTGACAGTATACACTGTTTTAATATTCTTAATTATGATGACTATAATTCTCTACTCTTTTTTATTTTTATTTTTTATTTATCCATAAGAATTATAATGATGATAGCAGATTCGAACCTAAGACTCTGTATATGACTCAAACTCCTTCACCACGAGGTCAACTCTAGTAGTTATAAAGTTCCCTACTTTTAACTGATTCCTAAAGTTTTATTTAATAATCTCTAGATTTATATGTTGGACTTGCATTGATCATAGATATTTGATTTGATTTCATTATTATTTGTCTTTTTTCGTGGACCACTACAACTTTTTCTTTCTAGATTTATGATATTTATGCTCCTTTTCTCTGGTGTATTTCATGCTGATATATATATTGACAATCAAATTGCATGAAAAACAGGTGTGTAATTTGTCAGATGACATACAGAAGAGGTGACCAGCAAATGAAATTGCCATGCAGTCATGTCTATCATGGTGAATGCATCACCAAGTGGCTTAGCATTAACAAGGTACAAATTTTAAATGTTTTTTTTTTCTTCTGAAATTCACTTGAAGCATATTCTGTCTTATTAGTTAAAATTTATTGAAAATTATAAAAGTATGAGATGTTCATTAAAAGGATGTCAGACTCACAAATTCTTGTGAATTTCAATAAATTTCAACCAATAATAAGGAGTGTGCTCAAAAAGGTGTGTACTAACATTTGTGTAACCATCTCTTATGTTTTACAATTTGTTGTCCCCATTTACCTTGTTTTCAGAAATGTCCTGTTTGCAACACTGAGGTTTTCGGCGAGGAATCAACGCATTAGCATCAAGATGGCAATAGGGGAGCCCTTTTGCTCTATTAATTTTTGCTTCTCACCCCAACTCTCTCTCTCTTTCTCTTAAGTTTCAGTTTCTTACACGTAGGTAGGTGTAATATGAAGAACTATGGCAGCTCTCACACAATATATGTTTTGTTTACTAGAAACAACCTAATGGAGTCGCATCTTCTAGTGATTAATGTGTGATTTTGTGTGTATTCATGCTATATATTTATTCTCTTAGCTATGTCCCTTACTTTGATATTTGGGATTGAAAAATCTGCTTCCAGGTTATTGATCAATATAGATATGTTGGAATTTGGGAATAAGAAATCTCATAAGCATGCTTAATGGATTGAAAAATGAAATGTGTGGAATGTGGTGGTCTTAATTTGAGAGAAAAAAAAAAAAACAATTTGGGATGAATTAACATTGATGTTGCTTTTCTGGCGGAGGAAATTAATTTTCATCTAATTCTAGATAGGATTAAATATATTGTCTCTGAACTTTTGTCATTGTCAGGTTATTTTTAGTATCTGAAATATATATATTTTTATTAATTTTAGTTCTTAAACTTTTATCGGTTTCACTTTTAATTTTTTTTAAAACTTTTTTCTCATTAATATTTTGTTCCTTAGCAATTTGGCAAAATAATTTTTTTTTTTCATGAAAAAGAATTGACTAAAATTAAATAAAATTTGTTCAGGGATTAAAATTTAAAAAGTTTATAGACTAATAGCATATTTGATTCTTCTATATTATTATAAATGGTTCCGCCCCTGGATGCTTCACGGATAATGGTTAAAGAATCAGTTTATAAAAGTTCAAGAAGATACCATAAGTTCTGTGTAGATAATTTTTTTTAATAAATACTAGTAAGAAAAGAAAATAAATTAAATGAATCAATGTTATTAGAGTTAAAATTAACTTAATTTAACTTTATATTTTAGGGAAATTAGATGAAAGAATTTTTATTTATTTTTTTATTTTTATAAATTGAGGTGTGTAAGTTGTTTTCAATTTATACAAGAATTTTGATTTAATTTTTTTCATTGAAATGTTTATTTAATAAGGTTATAATATTCGGTGTGTTAATACCATTAAGTGTTATATTCTTGCAATAAAACATTTCTAATTTTTTAGCTATTGCTTCGAGGATAATAGACTATCATCCTTACATGAAAATTTCAACACCAAAGAGGAGTCAATAAAAAAATTACAAGAACGAAATTGATCCCGGTATTTAGCTCCTTACGATTTCCATATTGTGGTTTTAATCCTTCCTAAGTTTTATTATTAATAAATTTTGATGCTAGAGTTGGCTTAATAATGAAAGAGTTGAAATAGTATGTGTTCATGAATTCTGATTTTAACGAGATGTTGTTTACAAAATAAATAAGAAATTAATAAATTTTATTCTTTTATTTTTTAATTGGTTAAGTAGGATGTGCAAGTGTTGTAAGTCCATGTGAGTGTTATCAAGTTTGATTCTCATGTACAAAAAAAATTAATACTTTTTTATACTGAAATTTGAGTATTTAAATAATCAATATAATGATTAAAATCAATCTATTAAAAAATCAAAAACTAAATCCAAGATTTTAAAAAAATTGTTAGCACTAAAAACATTATTATGTCTTGTTTGAAAGAACTCACGAATAATAAATTGTATTTATCTTATTTTATAAATGTTTAAGAGAGTATTTGAACAAACTTATTTTTCTCTCTCAAAAATAGCCCATTTAGAATAATATTGTTGTTATTTATATAATAATTATTTTAATCATGATTTTATAAAATATATATAAATAATTTTTAATTTTTTAAATTTATGGTTTTTAATTTTTAGTTATGGTTCTATATAAAATCGTTTCTCATATTTTATTATTATTTTTTTATAAATCAAAATTAGGTGAATGATGATTAATATATATATATATATATATATTTATTATTTTTAGTATTATTGTGATGTATAATGACATTTTTAAAAATTTATTTAATTACTTTTCATACTTTTTATTTTATTTTCAGTCAAAAATTTAATTTGTAATTTTCTAACTTTTAAAATGTGATAACATTTCATAAATACTTAAATAATGATATATCCAAACAGTAGAAAAATTTATAATTACTTATTAACATGTATATTTAAATATAACAACTTATTAAATTTTAAATACTTATAACATAAATTTTTTTGTTATATAAGAACTTCTTAAATAAGATCTTAAATAAGTTGTTTATCCAAACAAATCCTTAACCAGGATCAGGCCCATGCATTTAATAGAGGTAGTGAAAACCTAAACCTAAATAATCCTATAAATCTCATGAAGGCATCCATGAAATCAAGTGAAGAGAATAAGACACTAGCTGTTGATTCATTCCAGAACAAGGTGTCTTCTGCAATGAATTGAAGTGACAACAAGTGCAAGAGAAAGTGACAAAATTCTGAAAATGCGTCCAACAATAATTTTTTTTAAACACCTCTATCCCTTTGAACTCAAGTATAGTGATTGCAATCTATTCCACATATGTTGAAACAATTGCATTGCTTTTATTAATAAAATAACATTTTTTTTTATACTGGGAAGCCTATAGATCTTAGCAACTATTTATTTCTAATCTTTCTCTTCAATGATTATGATATATTGATTACTCTTCTACATCTCCATCCTCTACTATTTGCAATGAAGACAGGCCATGGCACAGTTTCTCAAAAGTTAAAACAATGTTTTATTTATTTCATGGTTTTTTGGTTTCTTGCATCCAAGCTTGCTATTTACACTTTATGCACTATGGAGCATCCAAGTCCAATAATTACTATAGTTTGATAGAGCAATAAGCATCCTGAGACAATGATATCAATCAATGATGCTGGAACAACCATTGAGAAGCAGTTTATTGAAAATTTGAAATCATAAGACATATTCATGGACAATAGTCAAAATACAAAATAAGGGCTAATACACAAGAAAAATAACTCATGTAATTATTACACCTCACAAACACCACATTATAAATGCATGTGCGAGCTATCAACATTGATGCACATTAAGAGTTGTGAAAAAAACTGATCAATACATTTCACATCACATGGAGAGAACTTTGTATCATTTTCAAAAGCTTGTGGAAGTGCAGAATTATTGTGCTGGATTGCAAAATGCTAGCAGTGGCAACTTTTTAAGGACTGTTAATAGCATATGGGAGTTATTCTGTTATTCACATGAACAATATCTACATTAGTTGGACAGAATATAGGAACTTGGTTTTGTCCATCAAACCTAGTCAATATATTCTTTATTCTGACATACATTTTTCTTTTTTTGAGAAAGAACTTGATTCATGTTCAATGGTTTTATGCAAATATTCTCGATCCATTTCTCATGTGAAGGACTAGGATATGAGAATCAGAAACCAGTTTTATCTGATGATTTAAGGCTTATAAACTTCTGTTGGGATACAAATAAGTCTCACATCAATAAAATAAGAAAAGAAATAACAACTTATAAAATACAAGCATACTCTAATATTTGAGAGACTTTTAGGTAATGACCAAAAACAAAACCGCGAGAGATTATGCACAAAGTGGACATTATTATTGAATCATATATTGATATGGCATTTTATCAAAATTATATGAAAATATTATTCATTATTAATGACGATAATGAACTGTATAAAGTTATGTAAGGCATTCAACATTAGTCGAGTACCCATGTGGAGTATTCGACCCTGCCCCAGGGTATCTGTGTAGGGTATTTGGTCATATCCAATACAAATTCCAATCCATGCTTATAGAATGTAGCTACACTTGTACTCTTCAGGACCGTAGTTAACTATAACTGAAATGACAATGATAATATTTGATTGCACAGATTGAAATTATGCTATCAACAGAAGATAATCATGTGTCTTAGATTCAAAGTGGGATGATAAAAGATCAAAAGCATTTTGAATGAAGTTTAGAAGTTTGTTGATATACTTTTCCAAAATGGCCTTGAAACTAGTTTTTAAGGTTATTTGTTAAGCAACATAGTCTTAGAAGGTCTTTGTTTCAAGTTAGTTCATGATAAAATTTTCACAATTTCATATCAAGCCAGCAAGGTAGGTTGATAGTATACTGTATCACTTTTCTTTTTTAGTACCTAAAAATAGCATTAATTCTCTTCTTTGTTGTTCCCCAAGTCTTCCTTATATTTGGATATAGTGGGAATATAATGATAGGGCATTTTTTTTCTCTTTACTTCACTTGGGTGATTTGAGGTGAAGTAACACTGTTGATTATACAAATTGGAAGGCAACATCAACTTATTAATTAAGCTTCATTTTCTGGTTTTTCTGGTTGAGCATAATGCTTGAAACACCATCCCTGATATTACATGCTAAGGCAAAAAACTACATCATTAATCACAATCTTGTGCATCATCAATAAGTATTTGCACCATTCACTATTTTCTGTATTCATAGATATTACATCCTAGTCTTGTAATGTAGGTGTTCTGCTTTTGGAAGCCTTACCCACCAAATTCACCTCGAATATATTTAAACTTGAAGTGATTAATAAATCATTTATTCTTTATTTCTTCATTTATGTCTATATGATTGTATTTTAGACTAAACATCAATGATACGCTCTCATCTTTTAATTATATACCCTTATTTGACACTACTATTTTTTTCCATTTCACTTGTCACATTATATTACTTATTATATTCATAATTTTCTCTATTTTTTTTATCAAAGTATTAGATAATTCAAAATGACTAGTAGGTATGTGAATCATCTGGCATGAAATTGTTCCAACTTAATAATTTCGAATTTAAATATTGAATATGTAATTGTATTAAATATTTAGGATTTAGAGTTTAAATACTTAGAAGAAAAGATTTGCAGCTTGTAATGATCCTATCCGATTCAAACAAATTTATTTCAAGTAGAAAGTGAAATATACTTGTATTATGAGAAAAAAAATCAATATATAATATTCATGCACGTTATTTTTTATTAAATAAAAATAATTAAACATCAACATCCCATTATTACAAATATCTATTTTTTTATAATTATATTATATACCACCTTTTTTATATTTCTCTTTTCTATTATTTTTTTATCTTTTAAGGTGTTGATGTCTCCTCAAACATTATGCACTAAATAATATCCTCAATTGTTGACAATATTTTTTTAAATGGTAACTATTCTTAATGAATTATTTTCGATTTATTTAGATACAAGTTAGAAGTATTTTAGGGTGTTTCTATATTAATAAAAAAAAATTTAATAAAATTTTTTTAAAAC